GCTGACGCCCGCCCGCTCGCTCGCAGGATGCCCGGCATACAGGAGTACCTCCAGCAGCCCCTGCTCAGCGGCCTGCGGGACAAGGCCTCCTACGTGCGGAGAGCGGCCGTGCTGGGCTGCGCCAAGATGCTGAAGCTGCAGGGGGACTCCGAAGTGGGTAAGTGGGCTTCGCACTGGGCTGCGCAGGCATGCCCGCCGTGGTGGAGCGCTCGCTGGGGAGGAGATGGTGGCCCGTGGGAGTTGGGGACACAGAGCTGCTGCAGGCATCTTCAGGCCCGCAGTCTGTCCTGGGTTTGCTGCGCTGCCTCTGTGGCTGCAAGACAGAGAGAGAAGAAAGAAGAAGACAAGTAGGCTATCGCTGTGTATCAAATCATTAACGAAACGCCAGGCGCTAAGAGGTTCCACATCAAGGTTTCCCTTTCGTACCTGTTTTGACAGGGCCTCTCGCGTCACCTGACCATTTCCGGAGTCTCTGATCAGCTGGGTGCCACTCTCGCATCCACAGACTTTCCGGGAAAAGTTGTGCCAGGGGCAGGTGTTACTGTAGAGCTGGAATTTTTGTTGACAACTTCTCACAGTTCAAGCCGTATCTTTTGTTTGTGGTAAATGCTTATAAACAGTGATTAAATTGCACTGTGTGAACACAATTTGATATAAGGACCTCTACTTCTTTGCAGATGGTGCATTGGTGAATGAACTGTACAGTTTGCTTCGTGACCAGGATCCTATTGTAGTTGTGAATTGTCTGAGGGCCTTAGAAGAGATCTTGAAGAAGGAGGGAGGAGTTGTCATCAACAAACCCATTGCCCATCATCTCCTCAACAGGTTTGTTTTCTTTGATGTTACGATCATGCTGGAAACTTTTCTTATTCTTGCGTTTTGTATGCTAGCAGAGTGGGTATTTCTGGGGTCCTGTCAGAACTTGAAGGGAAGAGTCAGGCACCCAGAGATGGAGGTGCCCGTCCTAAGAGAAACTAAATTACTTTTGTGCTAAGGGCTTAAGAGAAATCCGAGATGCCCTGCTCTTCCAGGGAGCCTTGGCTTCAGCTGGTGGTTTGTTTTGGAATTGTAGGTTAATGTGGTTAGGTTTTGGGGGGTTTTTTGGTGACAGTACACATGGTATATTTGTAGGACAGGTATGTTCTAGTATGTGTCTCCCAATCCATTGATATATAACTTATCCATTGCTTGAAGAAATTAACTTTTCTGCAGGTAATTCTACATGACCTGGCAAAAAAGGGGTATTGCTCTGCCCAGGGTTCTTGTCAATGTTGCAGTCTGGCTTAGAGCACCAGCAAAAGTGCATGACTGATAAGAAATTAAGCCTGTGTGCATGAACTGGTTAATTCTCTTGAGATAAAACTGTGGTATCTACATCTGAAGCATAGCATTTGGTTTGGAACAGAGACTGTAAGAAACTCAGAGGCTAAGGCCTCTGCTCTGCACAGCACAGATCTTTGCAGTTTTTGACTCCTGCAAACTGTGTTTATTCTCTTGGCAGGATGGCTGATCTGGATCAGTGGGGGCAAAGTGAGGTGCTTACCTTCCTTCTGCGTTACAGACCCCGCAGTGAGGAGGAACTCTTCGACATACTCAATTTACTGGATGGCTATCTCAAAAGCAGCAGCCCCAGTGTTGTGATGGCAGGCACCAAGCTTTTCCTAGTGCTGGCCAGGGAGTACCCACATGTGCAGGCAGATGTTTTGGTGAGAGTGAAGGGACCACTGCTGTCTGCCTGCACCTCTGAGAGCAGGGAGCTCTGCTTCACTGCACTGTGCCACGTGCGTCAGATCCTTGGTAGCCTTCCTGGCCATTTTAGCAGCCACTACAAAAAGTTCTTCTGTTCGTATTCAGAGCCCCACTACATTAAATGCCAGAAGATGGAGGTGTTGTGTGAGCTGGTGAATGATGAGAACGTACAGCAAGTGCTGGAGGAGCTGAAGGGCTATTGCACTGATGTATCAGTAGAGCTTGCCCAAGGGGCGATCTTCGCCATAGGTAAGAGTTGTATCTTGTGTCAGGAGCAGCTGCAGCCCTAGACCTTTAAAGTGGGCCTTTCTCTGCTGAAGTGTATCTGGGCAAATGCCAAATAATTGATCTGTGCTGAAGCAGTACAGCCCTCTGTAGACCAGCCTGCCCAGGAATGTTTTGTGTGAGTGTGTTTCTAAACCATGATTGTGCTGATTCTGTCAGAAGTCCTGGCATTGAACTGTTTCAGGTTGCACATAATGTCCTTGAATCTCCTTCAAATGTCTGTACTCAGATGAGATGCTCTAAAGAAATCATGTCATTTCATCTTATTAATGTGCCTTACAGTGTGGAATGAAACTGTGTAGTGGGTGGAGGAGCTGCTGTAATACGTGCTTGTTCTTTGAGTTGTGATGGGAGCAGAGTTAAGGTGATTCGGGGCACTTTAGTTTTGGTTTTGTAAGCTTTAAAATAGGTGATTTCTATAGTATTCAGAAGGAGAAAGACAGGGATGCTAAAATGTCTTTCTATGTGTTACGTTTAAGAAAACTTCAGTCTTCTGAGGCATGGCTTCAGAAAAAGGAACATATTGCTTGTGTGGAGAACAAGCTCATTTGACTATGGCTAAAATGCCTTTCTATGTGTTACATTTAAGAAAACTTCAGTCTTCTTCTGAGGCATGGCTTCAGAAAAAGGAACATATTGCTTGTGTGGAGAACAAGCTCATTTGACTATGCTTTCAGAAATTTTAGTCGAAAAGGAAAAGAGAAAGACTGTTTCATTAAAGTGAGTTTGTGATGAATAGTTGGGCTCATGGTTCCTATTTCACTCTGATAAGAGGTTGACTTTTACATCCTTCGGCGTCTCTGCAGGCAATATTGCGAGAACATACACAGAACAGTGCGTGGGGATTCTGACGGAACTCCTGGGGCTTCAACAGGAACATATCACTTCAGGTAATCATCTGCAGGTTGTTTGCCTGGCCTGTGCTTTCAGGAAGTGGCCTTGCTGGGGCTGGTGATCCCAAACTCGGGGTCTTAAAGGCGCTTGGCTTTTAATTTAATTGGCACCTTCAGGTGGAAGTCTTCCTGGTGGAATTGGGGGTATATAGTGTGACGGGACATTTTTCTTCCTTAGGAACTACTCTTTGAGGTCAATGGGGAGGTGGCCATAGCTGCATTCATGGTCCGATGTGGACACTCCTTTCTGGCTGCCACCTGCTTACTTAGGGAGTGAGGGACGCAGCAGAGACATTTCAGTGACTGACTGAGGGCCAAGATGATTAATAGATTTTCTAAATCTTTGTGATTTCTGTTCCTCATATAATAGTCTGGTTCAATTGTACCTTTTATTTCTTTTAATTGTCTCTTTTAATTCTGCTGCCCTCAGATCTAACTTCATATCATTGCTGTTTCTGCCCTCTCTTTTAAATGGCCTTGCTTTCAGCTTTGAAAATCACACGCTTGCATAGAGCTGTTGAATTCGATCTCAGAAGCTGCTGGTGTCTCTCTAAGTGGGCGGCAGAGCCTTTAAAATTTTGACCTAAAGTTCATGAGACTCGTTTTGAATTGATGTTAGTTTTAATTTGTCATTCTAACCTTGCGTGTCTGAAGCATCACGAGTCAGTGTCTTTTTAAAGGCTGGGGAATGTCCAGAAGAGAGATTACTTCCCAGCAGTCAGAGAAACAATGTGAAGTTTCAGTGCTTTGTTTTAGACTTGGTGCAACTTTGCAAAGTCTAGAGTGGGGTTTTTGTGGATTTCCCCCCCCGCCC